GGCTGATTGACCTTATACGGGCTCTTTGTCAAATGATAGCGGGTCACACCAATGCCGAACGTAGTATGCTGAGGGGTAGTGAAGTATCAGGAATCTAAATGCGCCTATGTAGGCGGTTCGGCAGCTGTTAAGTAGGTGCATTGTCTAGCCCGTTCAACCGACAGTGCTTCTGGTGTACTTAGTGTCCCTGAGGGTCCGATCACTCGATCACTAATCGACCACCTTCCAAGAGAGGAGGTATTAATCAAAAATAATATGATCTGTGGCGAATACATCATTCTTCTGCACTCTACAGACGAAGGCTGAAGATACATACACTGCTACCGTACACTGATCCGGCGATCGTCAGAGTATCACTCACATACAGCGAAACGAAGTTAAGCGATTTGAGCTAATCTGGGACGCCAATCTCTTCTGAAGGACACCAAAAAACATATTCTGCGAAACATGGCACTTAGGCGTGCGGCAGGCCCTGACTCAGGAAACCACAAGAGCGCACCGGCACCGATTCGAAGCAAAAATTCCGGGCCACGTTCAAAAAGGCGATAGAATGGCAACCATTCTCCCCTAGCTGCCGATATCTTTGATCGAAAACACTCCTGCTATTGTCCTGCGTGGATCGATTGTGAAGGAATCTCACGTTCAATAAGTCACACCAGGATGGTGCCGTTGGTTCGCTGCCATTCTTTGGTTTTGCAGACCTTACTCCGAAGGAATAAATAGGCCCAGCTGTCGGAAACAGTGCACGCTGCACTTGGGCTTGAGTTTCACAACAGTAACCACTGTAACCGGATAGGATGGGGGCCAATGCGTACAACGGCAATAATGTCAACTAATTGGCACAGCGAACTCCATCTGCTATTGGGCTATATATTAGGTGTTTCAGAGAGTTCTGTCGTTTTCTAACACTCCACATTTGGATGCTTTATTTCCCTTGAAATCTGAGAAATCTGCAATTGATGTTGATATAATTTTGAAGAGCTTTTCCAGCTCTATCCGATGACTAGCACGAGCTATTGACCTGCAAATATTTTCTTATAGCTTTTTCAAAGCTTTGAATTCAGTATACTCGAGGAGCAAGCTGGCATGACTTTCTTTTTCTAGCTTTAAATAGACCTGAAAGTGGCGGGATCAGTTCAAGATATCAACGATGCTTTGGGCCTAGATTTGCAATAAATGTGCTCAGAAGCAGTAGTTAAAAAATTTATTGTAAGGAAAGGCGAGAGCCTTGAATATGATGAGAGTAGTGGTCGGACATCGGACGGTGTCTCCGATTAGCCAAAAGTTCTGATTGAAGCACTTGTGCGTAAGACCATAGAGGAGGTTCTGCCCAACGTGGGCGTATATGGTTTGTACAGCCAAGCTATACGGAAGAAGCTGGAAAGTCCAAAAAATTTGATAGGGGCGTGCCGCGACAAATCACCAATTTGAAGGGTCGTCCATCAAATTGTCGCTTGTTTTATGTGATAAAAGCGACTCGTTTCTCTACAGATTTGCGACGTACAATAAAGAGCGGATTCTTCTCTATAGTCTACGAAAGTTTGCTGAATAGATCGACGGCGATGAAGCTCTACAAACTTTGCAGAATTTAAACTGTGCTGGAGGAGGGTTGTGGCAGCTTTCATGGGGCCAGCGGCTGGCCATGTTCTTCAGTATCAGATGGAACTGTTACAGTGGAGAATCAATCTTTATACTAATTCAAAAATCATCAAAAACTCTAGGACATGGGTCCAGCATTCCTCATTATAAAGGAACACACACATCCCTGAAAGGTGTCTTGAACGCACATCGCACGGCCAACCCTTCACAAGTTGTACCAGCTGAACTTCAGAGTGGTTCTGCGAACATCTTACTTAGTAGACCTTTGAACTATCTACTGTCAAATTTCTGACGATCTCGATAGCTTCCTTGAAGAGAAATACATCAAAACCCAACATGATGCTAAAACGACCTTCCCTCAGTTCATCGCCTCCAGAGGTCCAGCATTCCAAACAAACGTACCCAGTTGAACGGCTTCTTATAGAAAAAGATTCGCGCTTTCGAATGGTTTTTTAATCAACTCGAAAGGTTCAGTCTAAGCCGAGATACGTGCATTTAAAATTAGGGGCTGGAAAACGACAGAACTTTCTGAAACACCTAATATAATATTTGTATAATATCATTTTGAGAGCTCCCTCGCTGTTGTACAAGTCGGTATCTTTTGAAGGAACTCGACAAACAAATTCCGGAGAGATAGAGCTAGAATGACCCGAGCGGAAGTCGATACCTGGATGTGTGCATTGAAAGCAGCGCCCCTTTCCACCACATCACATTCGCGCTCGATCAAAAACTAAGCCTCAAACTATGTTATGGAAAATCATGTAGTGTCCAAGCGAACAGTTTTCCGGAATATGGTGCTATGCAACTTCAACTGTTACGGCCTTGTGCTCGTAATTACGATAGCAGGATATAGAGCGAAAATGAACGGCACAGCGAAAACAATATGCTCGCCAAGGTTAGCTTCCTATGCTGTAACAGATCAACGTCACCGGACATTTGCCCAGATTGTCGTCGAGAACTGGAAATTAGACGAATGACCTCCAATCGGATTTACTAATGAAAAAGGCTAACGTCGTATGAAGCGGTTATTCCGCGCAATTAGCTAATCATGCGGAAGTATCGTGTTAGCGGCCTGTTACGCTTACAGCGTTCTGGTACGTGATCACCCCTCAAGATTCCTTCGTTTTACTAATTCCTTTATATAACGTTTTACTAGCATTAAAAATAGTAAACCTACTTTTTCCACATGACTTGTGATTTCAGCCGGTACGCCACGCCTGGAGGAGGCGGAGGAGGCGGAGGCGGCGGTAGCGGCGGCGGAGGCGGACTCAAAGGCTCTAGTGAGGAGGACAATGCATACCTGGAAGTAGGCTACATTCCTATTCCCCTATTAACCAGTTTTATTGGCATATATAACGGATTTCATCTCGAAATTCCGCATCGGACCATCACATTGATTTCATGCTTGAATTCCGATTGTTTGTTTAAATTTGTTTTAATTACAGGCCCCAACTGCGGTGGTGGTACAACCAATTGCATTCCCGGAAGTAAGCATTATTTCCATATCTAATTTAACTAAATTTGAACGTATGACTGCTTTTAACTTGCAAAAAGGCTCATCATATCTAAGTTGATTCTCTCCATTACAGGCCCCAACTGTGGAGGAGGGTCGGCGGCGGTGGAGTCGGCGGGGGTGGCCAATGTATACCTGGAAG